TGTAAAGAGAGATTTGTCAACAAAGACCAAAACCCCATCGTTGAGAATTCGATTTCCGAATCCCATTCCCAAAACTGACGCTCATGATGTTAAACCACAAAGATTGGAAGGAAAAGTGAGACATCTGACAGATGAATTCAAAACCATTCCACCGTTTCTAATCAGAAAAGTTCTAAATCTACCTGATATTAATGAAGATCTGGACAAAGCAAAAACCCATCTTCAAGAGATGGCATCACATAAAAGAATGACCGATGCTGGTTCGGTGCCTAATCCTGACAGCCATCAGAAAAGAAGTTATGATGAACAGAAACCTGAAGTAGATGAGTATCCTGTATTTGTACCAAGACGTTATGCAGCTCAAGTGCCCGACAGGGATAACTATCCTACGTTCACACGAAGTTACGAGCTACCAGCACCAAAGAAAGAAGATCGTCTTGCTTCTGAATCAAGAAACTACGACCAGCAACTACTTCAGAAAKATGAATATSCCGTCTTTAACCCACGTGCTCGTGAACCACATGCTCTCCATGAAGACATTCCTCTCACCTCCAAGGAAAGGGTCTTCGAATCACAAGATCTAACCCAGCTAGTCAAGCTCCAAAGACAATTGATAAGTCAACAACAAGAGAGTAACCAATACATTGCCTCGACTATAAAGCATGGATTTGCCCTTCCAAAAAMGRAGCTAATGGTGTTTGATGGTGATCCTCTGGATTACTGGACATTTGTCAGATTCTTTGACAACAACATCTTGCAGAWCACTTCAYCAGACAGTGAAAGGTTAACCYACTTATTGCAGTACTGTTCTGGGAAGGCGAAGGAAGCTATCAAAAGTTGTGCTACGTTACACCCATCACTCAGATACAAGGAAGCAAGAAAGATGCTATCAAAATGCTTCGGCGATCCTTATCATATTGCTATATCGCACGTGAACAATTTGACTAATGGTCGACCCATAAAGCCATTTGATGGATCTGCCCTACTGGAATTCGCGTTACAGATGAAGTCATGTGTGAATACTCTAACTACAATTGGCTACCTTAGTGAGATTAACAGATCCGATAACTTGAGACGCATTGCAGAAAGACTTCCCCACAACCTCAAATCTAAATGGCTCTCCAGAACGAGATCTCTAAGATCGGTTTCAATCAGACCTGGAATACAGGACTTATCAGACTTCGTGCAAGAGCAAGCTGATGAGATAAACGATCCTGTCTTTGGTGACATCGTGGCAACCAAAGTAAGAAGTAAAGAAGGACCGTTAAGACGCAT